ATCCCCAATCCCCAATCCCCAATCCCCAATCCCCGCTCCCCGCTCCCCGCTCCCCGCAGCGCACCCGTGTCCTTGCGCCGCTCGTGGTAGCTGTACACGGCCCCCGCCGTGCAGTTCTTGCCGTGCCGCGTCATGGCCGCGCCCGCGGGGACCCGGAGCGGGATTCCAAACGAGCCCCGGGGGTTTTTTTGGGTTTTTTGGGTTTTTTTTGGAGTTTTGTTTTTTGGGGCCTCGCGCCCGCCTCGGGCCGGCAGCGGCGGCGCGGCGGAAGCGGCGGAAGGCGGAAGCGGAGACCGGAAGTGCGGCGGGGAAAAGGGTCCGGGTGGGAGCAGCGCTTTGGTTCCCCACGTACAAATTGCAGCTCCCGGTTCCGGCCGGGAGGATTTTTTTTTTTTGGGGATGGGGGGTGTTGGGGTTTTTTTTGGGGGGGTTTTTAGGGATTTTTGGGGTTTTTATTGGGGCCTCGGACCAGCAGCGGAGGCGCGGCGGAGACCGGAAGTGCGGCGGGGAAAAGGGTCCGGGTGGGAGCAGCGGTTTGGTTCCGGCCGTGCAGCTCTCCGCTCCCAGTTCAGACCAGTTCCGCCCAGTGTCCCTCGGCATCTCAGCCACACCCCCACTGGGAGAAAGCCACGCCTCTTTTTATTATATAGGCAGACTATAGCCACGCCCTTCTTCTCTAGAAAATGCCTGGCCCCGCCCCTTTCCCCGCCCCTTTCCCGCCTCTAACCGCGGCTTGGCCCCGCCCCTAAGGGCTCACGTCACTTTCTGGCCACGCCCCTCATCCACATATGGAAGCCCCGCCCCTTTCCATGCTAAATGCCACGTGGCCACGCCCCCTCCGCACCTCCAGCATTTGCCACGCCCCCTTCCCTCTATGGCGGTGAAAACCCCGCCCCTTTATTGGCTAGAGCTGCCGCTTGGCCACGCCCCCTCAGCGCTCACGCACATCGTGGCCACGCCCCTTTTCCATATAAGGAGATTTTAGAGCCCCGCCCCTTTCTCTCCCCGCATGGCCCCGCCCCTCAGCGCTGTGTTCTGCTGTGGCCACGCCCCTTTTCCATATATGGAATTTAGCCCCGCCCCTCCGCGCTCTGTTCTGCTGTGGCCACGCCCCTTTTCCATATATGGAAGGGCGTGGCCCCGCCCCTTTTTAGCCGCGTGGCCCCGCCCCCTCAGCTCTCTGTTCCGCTGTGGCCACGCCCCTTTTCCATATACGGAATCGCTAAGCCCCGCCCCTTTCTGGTCGCGTAGCCACGCCCCTTTTCCATATATGAAAGGACGTAACCCCGCCCCTTTCTCCCCGCGTGGCCACGCCCACTCAGCGCTCTGCTCCCCTCTTGCCACGCCCCTTTTCCATATATGGAAGCGCTAAGCTCCGCCCCTTTCTCCCCGCGTGGCCCCGTCCCCTCAGCGCTCTGTTCCACTGTTGCCACGCCCCTTTTCCATATATGGAAGCGCTAAGCCCCGCCTCTTTCTCCCGGCGTGGCCACGCCCCCTCAGCGCTCTATTCCACTCTTGCCACGCCCCTTTTCCATATATGGAAGCGCTAAGCCCCGCCCCTTTCTCCCCGCGTGGCCACGCCCCCTCAGCGCTCTGCTCCCCTCTTGCCACGCCCCTTTTCCATATATGGAAGAGCTAAGCTCCGCCCCTTTCTCCCGGCGTGGCCACGCCCCCTCAGCGCTCTATTCCCCTTTGGCCACGCCCCTTTTCCATATATGGAAGCGCTAAAGCCCCGCCCCTTTCTCCTCGCGTGACCACGCCCCCTCAGCGCTCTGCTCCCCTCTTGCCACGCCCCCTTTCCATATATGGAAGCGCTAAGCCCCGCCCCTTTCTCCCCGCGTGGCCACGCCCCCTCAGCGCTCTGTTCCACTTTGGCCACGCCCCTTTTCCATATATGGAATTGTTTAGTCCCGCCCCTTTCTCCCCGCGTGGCCACGCCCCCTCAGCGCTCTGTTCCCCTCTTGCCACGCCCCTTTTCCATATATGGAAGCGCTAAGCCCCGCCCCTTTCTCCCCGCGTGGCCCCGCCCCCTCAGCGCTCCCGCCACAGCGTGGCCCCGCCCCTTTCCCCATGTACGGCGGCGCTCGGCCCCGCCCCCTTCCCCGCGCGGGCATTGTCCGGCCCCGCCGCTGGCCCCGCCCCTTTTCCCTTATATGGCCCTGCGCTGGCCCCGCCCCCCGCTCCCCATTGGCCGGCGGCCGCCCCGCCCCTCCCGCCGCGCGCCCGCCGCCGCGCGGGGCAGTGTGGGAGGAAGCGGCGGCGCGCGGCCCCGCTCCATCATGGCGGCTCCGTGAGGCGCCCCCGGCCCGGCCGCCCCCGGCCCCCCCCCGGCCCCCCCGGCCCTCGAACCCGCCCGGCCCCGGGGGGCGCCGCCCCCATGGACAGGAACTACCCCGGAGCCGGGTTCGGGGACCCGCTCAGCGCCGGGCCCGGCTGGAGCTACGAGCGCTCGGCCAAGGCCAGGTGAGGGGGGGGGCGGCGGAGGGGGGAGGGGGCGGCGGGGGGGGGGGGGGGGGGGGGGGGGGGGGGGGGGGGGGGGGTTGGGGTGGGGGTCCCGTTACAGCCCAATTGGGGTGGGGGTCCCGTTACAGCCCAATTGGGGTGGGGGTCCCGTTATAGCCAAATCGGGGTGGGGGTCCCGTTATAGCCAAATTGGGGTGGGGGTCCCTTTATTGCAGGAAATGGGGTGAGGGTCCCGTTACAGGAGGAATTGGGGTGGGGGTTCCGTTATTGCAGGAATTGGGGTGGGGGTCCTGTTATACCCAAATTGGGGTGGGGGTCCCGTTATACCCAGATTGGGGTGAGGGTCCCGTTATACCCAGATTGGGGTGAGGGTCCCGTTACAGCGGGAATTGGGGCGAGGGTCCCGTTATACCCAGATTGGGGTGAGGGTCCCGTTATACCCAAATTGGGGTGAGGGTCCCGTTACAGGAGGAATTGGGGTGGGGGTCCCGTTATTGCAGGAATTGGGGTGAGGGTCCCGTTACAGAGGAATTGGGGGTGAGGGTCCTGTTGTTGCGGAAATTGGGGTGGGGGTCCCGTTATACCCGAATTGGGGTGAGGGTCCCGTTACAGGAGGAATTGGGGTGGGGGTCCCGTTATTGCAGGAATTGGGGTGGGGGTCCTATTATACTCGAATTGGGGTGAGGGTCCCGTTATACCCAAATTGGGGTGGAGGTCCCATTACAGCGGAATTGGGGTGGGGGTCCCGTTATTGCAGGAATTGGGGTGAGGGTCCCGTTACAGAGGAATTGGGGGTGAGGGTCCTGTTGCGGAAATTGGGGTGGGGGTCCCGTTATACCCCAATTGGGGTGGGGGTCCCGTTATACCCAAATTGGGGTGAGGGTCCCGTTACACTCGAATTGGGGTGGGGGTCCCGTTGTAGCGGGAATTGTGCTGGGATTTGGGGTGTTCAATCTGTATTGGGGTGCTGGGATCCCCTATCAGTGGGATTTGGGATGCTGGGATCCTGTTTCAGTGGGAATTGGGGTGCTGGGAATCCCCTTACTCCAGAATTTGGGGCGCAGGGATCCAGTTGTTCTGGGTTTGGGGTGAGGGTCCCATTACAGCAGGAATTGGGGTGCTGGGATCCCGTTACTCCAGGATTTGGGGTGCTGGGATCCCGTTACTCCAGGATTTGGGGTGCTGGGATCCCGTTTCTCCGGGATTTGGGGTACTGGGATCCCGTTATTCTGGGATTTGGGGTGCAGGTATCCCCTTACTCCGGGATTTGGGGTGCTGGGATCCCATTATTCCGGGATTTGGGGTGCTGGAATCCCGTTATTCTGGGATTTGGGGTGCTGGAATCCCGTTATTCCGGGATTTGGAGTGCTGGGATCCTGTTTCTCTGGGATTTGGGGTGCTGGAATCCCGTTATTC